TAGAAAGTTAATTTATTATATATATATATATATATATATAACAAAACTAGTATAAATTATGCCACAATTAGGTGAGTCTGTTGCTAAAAGAAAAAATCCAATATTTCCTTACTCATAACAGATTACTTTTAATGTTCTTTTTATAAATATTCTACAAGAAATTTGAGGAAACGATAAAGGAAGAATAAGCCAGAAAAGCAATTTCTGACCTGCCTGTTAGAATATTGTATTGAGCATCACTTTTGAAAAGGAATGTCGCAAAAAATTTCCCCCAACAATTTCATGGTATTTCAGCAGAAGAATGCACAAAAAAAAAAATAAAAATGAACTGATGCACATTACAGCATAAAGCGATGGTGATATATACTCATAGTTCGACCTCGTCACATGTAATTTCACTTTATACAATACTTTTCACAAAAAAACTGTGTTCACAACATATCATAATGAAGGATATAGGATACTTATTCAATAGACAGTTTTAATTTGCGGATCAAAATACAAGCAATGAATGGATATGACATTCGAAAGCTTTTGTTTTAACTAATACCTCCTTTACATGATACAATATCAGAAGTAAAAAACAAAAAGTGACAAACAACCTTTAATTAAGTTTTAAAACATCTTTCCTCATAATACTATCCATACTTACTTTCACTGTTCCATTTTCTTACATACTGTTTGTCCACTAATATTTAAGCAGAAAATTGATTCCTATCCAAAAAGAAAGAACTCAATTCACTTATTTTTTTTTTGTTTTTCGGTAAAATAATTCCAAAAGTGACATTTTTGAGTAGCGCTTATAGTAAGAACTTAAAGAATCAATGCTAATCAAGTAAAAGTTATGCAGAGAATTTTATCAGATTTCTCATTTACCTATATTTATGAAATGGAAAAAGAAGTTCACTCGGTCTTTGAAAAATAAAAACATTTCAGACCAAGTTGGCTTTATCAGAGAGCCAAAAGAAGTTATAATAGATTGGATCAGTGGTTAATAGCAGTTTCCAGAGTTTATCTTATATTTTCATCACCACCACTTAATTATCTATGCTAAGCTGCTTAATTCAACATAAAATCCGATTTAAGAGTCTTATAATAGCGCATAGTGGGTGATAGTGAAGGATACTTATGGGAAGGTTCGAAAGAAAAAATTATAAAAACGATATAATGTGGAAGTGGGTTTACTTCGGGCAGAACTGAGAGTGGAATATTTGTCAGCGTTTGTTCACAACACTGAAAGTTACGACATTGAAAGAAGTGAATTTGAAAAAGAAAAAGAGGTAAAAGAAGCAGCAAAAACGTGGGGGTCAAGGCTAAGGTCACCAATTCAAAACCGACACAATTACTTTTTCTAGAGTAAATAAAACTACTGTCTGGAACGCAGAACACTTCCTCCTACAAGAAATTTTAACTTACTTTATCACTGGATTCATTTCAGGTGGCTAATTTGAGCGATTTGTTTTTTCTTTTATCTCCAGTTCTTCTAACTGAAGCGATATAAGAATTTTGAATCCAAAATTAACGTGAATAGTACAAGGTAATGGAAGCTTCGAATCCAGTAGTAATGGATTAACGGTGTTCAACTACCTCCTGCTTGATACTGCTTTCTCCACACCTTCATAATGTGTAATGTGTAATGGATTTAAAACCTAAAATGAACAACTACTGTCAATATTCAAGGATGCTTAATTCTACAATTGTGATCAGTACTAAAATTGTATTTTCGCAATTTTCAAAAAAGATTAAAATTTTTTTCAATTTTCGCAGTTTAGAAAAGGAATTTCAGATTTAAATAGCAACAAATAGATGGTGAATAATGCAGTCAATCCAAGTGAAGTACTGAAATGGGTCAATTTGTTGGAAAATATTCTAATACAGATGTAATCCGATGTTTTTAATTTATATGGAAGATTCAGGCACACAGTACATCTTTCCGTAATTTTCTAACTAAATATTGAGAAACTGCAACTTTGCAAGAGCAAGAATTCAATCAAACTAAAAAAAAGTTTATAGCTATTTATATTCAATGAATTTGACGAACTATAATTTATCCCCATGTCCATATTAGGAACTTTACTCTATAGAAACTTTTGAAAAACTGGAGAGATAATTTGATACTTTTTGACAATGTCACCTGTTTAGTAAAGTCAACAATCCATTGTTTGTTAGGGAAAGCCGAAATTATATATTCTTTGTTTGAAAATATCTGAATAACACCTATTTCTTTCAATAACAAGAGAACATATACAAAGTAAAACACCGTTTTCAAAATGCCCACACTACAAATTCAATGAATACAAAAAAAAAATCCTTCAGGTTAAAAAAAATGACCGCAGTAGTAGTGACAAACATGTATGAAATACTTTCGGGAATAGAATGGAAACTATTCGAATTTCTGTTCACTATAAGCACAATAAACTAATAACAAATCAGAACACAAAGTAAACGCAAAGTAGTACGAGTATACTTAAACATATCAATACCAGCAGTGAAGTTAAAATTTCAAAAGATCAAGCTTCCCATTCCTATTCGAGCCCGCAAGAAGATAAAAAATTTTATCAGTTACAACAAAAATAGATCCTCCCATCAATTTCCGCGTCTCCATCAATATAAAATGGAAACCTAATTCATCATAATCGGGATTTACTCCAGTTATTAAAAAAGAAAGGAGAGGTCTTAAATATTTCCCAAAAAATAGGAGGAAGCTTTTTTCTCGAACTTTACTAGATAAAAAAAACTAAACTTTACTAGATCACTTAAACACGAAGTATTAAACAAAATCCTCAGCCAAGTTCTCAAGGTCTGTAAAAATCATTTACGAAAGTCGCTCCACTTTGGTATGCTTGAAATTTTATTAAGCCATCTTCAGAATGATCATAATACTAATAATGCCAAAGGTAATGTTGACAGTGACCAGACGAACTGACGAAGCAAATCTTCCGGTTCTTCATTAAGATGTAAATAAGGAAAGGATCTAGGTTACCAGTAAGGAGAGTGTTGAATAATAATTCAATAATAGACATAAAAAAGGAAAACATTATGGATATAATAGTTCAGGTCAGTAAAACAGAGGTCAAAGAAAGTATGCAGTAGAAAAAAGGCGTAGTACAAGTAATAATTATCATTACCAATCAAATTTTTCATTTTCGAAGATTACCATTCTATATTTTAATTTGAAGAAATCTTCTAAAATTTCTTTTGCAAACGGCAAATTTCCTCAACAATCTTATAATTACTTTTAAAAAAGTTCATATCTTTTTGACAGTTCAAAGACGAAGTTTTACTTTAACACAACCCGATTTCTTTACCTATTATTGACCACAAACATATTTACAAGTACGTCATTTCAATAAGTATTCAATTTTTACATGTGAAATATTAGAAGATTTCAACTTAGAAATCTCCAGATGATTGCACTAGACAATAATAATGAAAAACACTTGAATAAATATAAAGTATACTTCCATATTCTAATGTTACTAGTGAAAAAAATGTCCGATGTTTGGAACATTTTTTCCTAAATAATTGATTTTGAAAACTATAACAATGAACTAAGGGATAAGTTATAATCCAAAGTAGAAGAAATGAACTTTCGGAAATTTTTGGACGCAAAAATAGACTGCAGTGAAAACAAACCCTATAAGCTAACAGTATATACTAGCTGTACCTCTCTGTGCGAAGTACACAGAGAGGAATTAGTTTCTGAGGAGATTTTCTTTGCATGTAATATCTGGTCACCGAAACAAAAAATTACTCGTCCAAATCATTTTATTGAAAAAATAAAAATATAACTAGTATTTTTCAATCCAAATAAATTAACATTTTAAACCGGTTTCCAACCTTTTCTTGACGAAGGACCACTTTGGCTTTCTCATTTGTAGCAAGAACCACAAGGTTCAAAAATGACAAATTCTGCTAACTTGAAAAAAAATAGAGGGAACCCCGTACTTACAGTACAATATTACAACCCGAATAAAGCTCCATCGCTGACAAACGAATCAAAGTAAAACATTAAAAAAACATAGGAAAAGGGCCCCCTCCCACCGTTTTCTACTCATCCAGTCATTACCTTCGCCAATCATATATTTCAGTTCTCGCAGACCACTGGTTGAGAACATTATTTAAAACAAATATTAACTCACAAAAAAGTAATGATAAGTGATATAATAGATACAAGACCAGAATCCACGATGAGTTACTATTCTAGGTAAAGATGATTGGAATATGAAGCATAAGTTTGAGAACAAAAAATTTACGGTTTGAATTTTGAAACCAGATTTTTCACACATGTTTTAACGGATATATTCTGCACAGAAACTATCCTTACCAAACATTAATCATAATGCTCATTGGTTTATTATTTTCAATGGTCTATAACTACATAACTTTATGCCAAGTACATTGCATAATTAATATCTGTCCGATGTTTTACAAAACATTTAATCTCAATCACTGATGGAAAGATCCGACCCTGACATTTTATTAATTTTAATATTGCTGAATTTAACGCTAATTTATGACATAGCTTATTTTTTCATAGCCATCCCATTTTGAGCGACTATTCATTCGAACAGGCTTCAAAATCAGGGTAGCTGGACAAAAAAAAGGGCAGGAAAAAGATGAATAGAATATCTATATAATGGGAAAACAATAATTAAAGGATAGTTTCTTTTTTCCATATGAATGATAGACGGAAGCCTAAAAAAGGACAAAGGTCACCAATAAGTGCTTTCACTGTTCCAGTAATAGTCAATATGCATACACATATATATACAGATGCCTTTCACTTTACAGTAGTTGCTGCTGGTAGGGCCAGGTATGCAATCGGTGATTGTTTATAACAGGCTTAACGGTAAAAGGCTGAGCACAGAAAATGATACATAAAATTGAAAACCGCAAAAATGAGAATTTCTGATTTGTGAAGTTGGAATAAATGCACCAAACAATATTTTGAGATAGGATCCAAAATGTTTATTTAGACCCAACATGACTTATTTCCGATATAAATTTATCTGATGTCAAAACTAGCAGACAATTTTAATAACTTTTAAATATCAGCGAGATCACAAACCTCTAAATTAAAACCCTAAACCCACTAACTCGATGCATTTACCTAATGCATTATCGCTTTATTTTATTGCGCTGCGCTAAACGACTCAAATTGACAAAAAGCAAGAACGATGGCGGTAATCGACCGGAAGATGAATTCATCATGGAGACAGAAAGGGTTTTATTAGTAGTGATCAGTCATAAGCCTGCCAGAAAAAGAAACTTCACAGCAAAAAATAGTTTTCAGATTTCATTTCCACTAGCTTTTAGTTGTTTTGTCATCCAGAATTTGATGGCGGGAAATTCAGATTTTCCAATACTTCAAAGAGAGAATAGTTATAAGGAAACCTAATTAATCACTAGGAATACAAAAAGTATATCATGCAGAAAATTATTGGAATAAAGGACAATGAAGGATGACTGCAAAAATACAAGAAACGAAGTAATGTGAAGTATTCCACTAACCTTGACCCATCAGTGCCAGACTCTGTAATTGCATGCTCGTACAACAGCGTGTAACTGCAATCGGTAAGACAAGATTCGTTTGAAGTTCTTCACTGTAAATCAAAAGAATCACAGGAAACAAATTCCTTTATGCATTCAAGTTTCTTCTTGTTATTTCCAAATTTCATTTCATATTTTAAGTTTAATTATAACAAGCAACGATGAGCTTTCGAGGTTTATAAGATTTTATAAGAAGTAATATACGAGAATAATGAAGTTAAATACTGGCACCGGTTGTCTTCTTTACTAAAAATTTCCACAACTTTTCCGCTTTAAATATATTAGTGCATAATGCTGTGTAATATTCCTAATTTTTGAATGGACATTCTATTTAAATTTCATTCCTTCATCAAACATCTAATATTAATTCCACTGACTTCGTCAAGTATTTAACATTAATTCCATTGGTAACTACTTCTAACTTTGACAATGCTCGTACGAGGTTAGATGGCACAGAATCATGAGTAATGAATGTCCATTTAGTCCATCGATTTATAAAATATATATGTTCAAAATGTCAAGAAAGAATTTGGCTGGAGTGTAGTACAATCTCACTGTTCCTAATCACCGATAAATTTGGGGCATATCTTTAAAAGTATACAATTTTATGAAAACAAATAATAGAAGTTAAAAATGCATCTCGAACTACAAAACATTTTAGCAAATATTTTCCGAATTTTCGAAAAAGACTTGAATCAAGATGAATCAAGATGAATGAATCTATCTAAAAATTTAAACTTACCCGTTCAAACAGTAATGTTCAATTAATAAAGGAAGTGATTTAAAATAATAAGGCGACGATTCTACACGTACGCTTCTATCCGGACCGGCTGACTCGATGAGGTAATGGTCAATATCAGATGCTAAGCCAGGAGGTGAACGAATACTTAAGGCCATTGCATTAGGTTTTGACGATGACCGTACAATAAAGGCCTACAAATTATCAAGGAAATAGCATGTTTGAATTCTACAAAATAAATGAATGTACAATGAAGTGATAATAATTGCCATGAATGATTAATGTTAGGAATGTGGAAATCCCACCCCTCCTCCCCCCCCCCCCTTTGAAATTTACATGCTAGATAAAATTCGTAGATATAAAGAAAGCGACGAATGCGGAATTAGGCACTCTAAACGCAACGCAACACATTACATGATTCATTTATGAAAAATGATTTTCTTGTTCGAATTTAGAAAATGGCTGGGAACTGCAATACCCCTTCCTTCATTGGGCGAAGCAAATGGGTGGCAGCGGAACGTCCAATATGCTGCAAATACCAAATGGGATGTGTGCGAATAATTTGCTCCAGCAGCGTGATCCCTTTTTCACTTCCACTTTTTGCGCCATCTTGTTTTTTTTCTTCGTCACTTGGTGACTGTAAAAGTAATGAATTACATTTAAACTTGAAATGCGCTATTTCCCCATCAATTTTAACAGAAAACAAAGAATACAAAGTTCCTGAATGACTCCAATTTTTACTTCTAATCTTTTTCTTCTCTTTTTCAACTACTTCACAAACGAAAGACCACTTATTTTCTTAGTTTGTCTAATTTAACCGTCATTACTGCTTGCATGTACATATAGACAGGAGAAAATTCCATTTCTTAAAATTTTTAAAAATAAGTCAATTAGCATCAGTTTACTTCAGCGAATCTGTTTTTTCTTTTATCTTTCGATAAGTTTGTGCGTCTGTCACACTGTACTGCTATAGATTTCTTCATACGATCGATGCCCACTTTAAAGTTTGATGGTGGTTTAGGATGCTGAAATAATAATCAAAGCTAAACGCCGAATCTGGCTTCATCTCTCCGATACAAATCTAAATGAAATGATTAACTAACGAATACAGCCTTAAAGCTCACCAAAAACCAATCATAAAAAGAGAAAAAACAAAACAAATCAGAAAACAACAAAGGAATTAAAATCTAAAAACAGCCTCTCTTTTTCAGTTTATCTCAGCTCTCGTTCTCAGTAAAATATCCAAACTAAATTATTAAAATGTTTAAAGCCATTCTCTTCCAGGAAGTTAACGTCGAATTAGTCAAAAAGTTTTTTACATAACGGTTGGAAAAATTAAACATAGCTCTTCCAGTAGTCTTGTTGTTCACCGACAGCCATTTCGACCCGCCGATGATTAATTCGCAGCACAAATTTGTTCTCATACATCAATTTTGTTTTCATAAGCAAAAAATGACCTCAGCAAAGATTTTAATAAAGCATAAGTCTACTATACGGAGGTTTTTATCTCAAGCACTACTCTCATCTATACTCAGCTTTGATTAAAAGTAACAGATTAGTAATTCTCCATCTAAAACCTGTGAGAATAATCCTTACACTTATAGCTGCTGAAGCTAGTACGTCGACAATTGGACTACTCGTACACTCTACTGAAACAAATTTACTCATCACTGTTGTCGGTACCGCCTGATCAGGAAACTGTAAAAGATCTTGAATAAGGCATTACTTTTTCCTAGTTTTTCCATGATCAAGCCATTTCTCCTTCTTGAAGTCAAAGCTTATCACAATGAATGACTAAACGGAGCTCCTCACTATATGAAATCTATTTTGCATAATATAAATCTGCTGTTCGTAGCGTTTGAATTACCAAACTCGTCAAATTTTAAGAACTGCGAGACCTTCATTAAATTTCATACGGTTATTGTAACCTTGTTCGTGACGAGATGAGTAGGTCCATCGTCGATGATGAATACTTCACGTTTCTTACTCATATTTAAAACAGCAATTGTCGTTGCTATGTCGTCGTTGTTGTTTTGACTGTTTTCCTCTATTCTGACTAATAGGTCATTTTCCGCACTATCTGTAAAATAACTAATTTTGAAATTCGAACTTTTTACATCCCGGATAGAATAATCAAATATACAGGAAAATAGCTTAATACAGCAAAACTGGATTCTGAATTTTGAATTCAAAACATTCTTAAAAAGACTGGACAACTTATACAGTGTAATGAAGAATTTAGGTTATCCTGGTGATTATTGATAGATCCTTGACAGGAACAGTCAAGGAAAGAGAAACTCTTCAAGTATCTCCCTAATTTTACATCCACTAAGCCTCTTTATTGAGGAGACTTTTCATAGACAATGAAAGCCCGCTTGATACAAAAACTCCTTATTTTCAAAAAAAAAAAACGATAAAATTGATAAAGAACTTGAAAACAAGAATAAATGAACTATCGGTGGGATGTGAAACCCTTAAACAGTAATGCGATATGGATATCTATCAAATGTGTTCTTGTTGACCGGAAATGGAATACTACTTGAAAATTCGCGAATCTTCTAAGTATATCAAATAAATTATAGACTGGATAAATACACCATGTCACCTTACCTTCACATCTCCCATTAATAGAAAGTGAAACAGAGGGAAGGGAATGTATGCTGGTGATTATTGATAGATGGAAGAATTCAACGGAAGAACAATGGTTGCTTAAGCATTTCATAGAGCCATTTGAATAAGAGTGCAAAAAAACGGGTCGTCAAGACGTGCTCTAACTCGATCGAATCGACTTCGAATCTGTTTGACTTGATTAGTGATATAATCAAAAGTGATATAATCATTGAAGGAGTAACACGCGGTTCCACAATATGAAACACTGTTGGAGTAAATTGACTTCACAGTATTGCAAAGATGGAATGACACTCTGGTGGAATAACGGCTAAATGATAGCGATGATAAGAAGACGCAGTGCCATCTATCTCATTTACCACTTCAATCTCCTCAGATTTCATAAGCGTTAAATCTCAAATTTCGAATGCAAGTATCAATATTACAAGGATGGGGGACTGATAACTATCAATCGATTGGATAAGGGAGATATAGCAGAGTGGGGACAAAGGAGGATTACATATCCTTCACAGGGAGGGGACATGCTCTCTGACATTTTCATCTTCCTCAACAGCAGCTGGTCGTGCATCTTCCATCACTTTTAATCTTCCGCTCCTCCCGATCTCATACCTCCACTGTACTGTCTAAAACCTTTTACCAACATTGAAATCTGTGTCACCTTGAGCAATACATACGGGAGAAAAGTTGGAAGCACCTGTTTTCTCCATGATGTGACAAGCTCGATCTTCTTGACTATATTTGGAAGAACCTCAGGAGAAATAGTGGAAGCAAGTGATGAGTGCCACTTTTCTATTGCCGAATGTGAAGTAGCGCTCATATCAGAAAGAATCTTTATGGCTTTCATCCTCGGATTCCAAAATCACTTTTTTTATCGGTCACTGTTCTTTATTTTGTTCATTAGGACAGCAAGCAGGTGAGATTACAGTTGAGGATTCTTCTTTATTCATCATCCTCACATTCAGTCTCAGTATCAATTTTAATGACCGGAAAACATCCACATATGGAATTGGAAAACTGGTTTCCGTCGCAGCACTATCTATGGTACTGCGTGCAATTTACATAATTAACATTCTCCATGATTTCAAAAGACGCAGCCGACAGGCATCACAGATGAATGATCCAAATCCATTAACAAAAAATTGTCACTGACGTGTAAGAGCAACAAGCAACAGGGAGAAGATATTAGGTATCGCAAGAGATGAAGAAGGACAGAACCTAAAACAGAGAATCTGTGTCTCGACGATTTGCTGCTAAAGTCTGTACGCACCTTAATTAAGCATCCATTCTAATGAAAGAAACTGTGTAAACTACTTCTTTAAGAATGATAAACCCTTTCGTTTGCAGATGATTGATCCGAGGAAAGTACTAGGCCTTCTGACATTATCAGATAAATAACTGAATAAAGTTTGGGGTGAAAATGTTGTTTTCCTGTTCAATATTAAGATAATATACTCGCTGTCGCATTATGCCCGTCTTAAACTGTTTTGACAGTTTGAAAAAATGAAATCCCATCATGTAAAGTTTCACTTTTTCGTGGCTCTGACTTGAAATGCTTAACCAATCCGAACTTCCTGTCAAAATACCACTTCTTCAAAAGGAAAAATGCACCAGCGCCATCAATTGATGACGTCTCCACCTCCCGCTACAGCAAATCACGAGCAGGATAAGCAGCAAAAGATGACTGCAAGGTATTTCATTAAGCTTTGCAAGATAGACGATAACTGTTACACATCTCCTCAAGGCAATTACTATTTATGCTTGAAGCTAATTAGAAGACCGAGCAGTTGTTCGTGAACAGTCCCGCCTATTCTTGAATTTTAAATGATGCTCTCCTGCTGAGATGACAAGTGACACGAACAAAAGATGAATAATCCATTCACATTTGATTTAATACAAACAATCATTTTCCCCAGCTCATATGTCACTTACCAAAGCTACTTTGGTCAGTATAAATGACAGTTCCATTCATCAGATATGTACCTTACGATTCCCATAAGGGTAAATAAGTAAGGATTTTTGGACAATTTTAAAAGAAGTTACTGAACTGATCAAAAAACACCAACAAATTCTTTTTCTCTTTTTTTTTTGAAAAAGATATTTCTCATTTCATTCTCAAAGAAAAAAACTCTGCAAACACACATGATCATTACAAAATCAGATTGATTCCTACAATAGAATTGTTCTTTCAGATGATTCGATTGATAGATCTAAAATGAAAGAAACGGAATATTATGCAAATTAGTTGGGAGGAGCCGAAATCTCTTTAAAGCCAAGTGGGAGAGAAGGTTTTGAAAAGAACGGGAGAACACACTGAACCATCATTATCATCAGCAAAGCATCAGGTGGCACTGAGTTGAATCCGTATGGAATGGACGGAAAGGAGGCAGTCGATGTCTGACCATTACCAACAACCGATCAACAATATTAAAGATAGCAGACCACAACAAAAATGAAAGCCTTTTGAATCTCACATCAAATATTCCCATTAACAGGAAAGAGTTAAATTAAAACAACGGGAAGCTTCCATTTCCTCAAGTAGGAAACTTTGACAAGTTGCAGACAACATATTCCATACTCCCTAATGATTCTAAAAGTAAAGGAAAAAAAATTAAAACTAAAAGGAACAATTTATTTAAAGTATATATACTCTTAGAAGATAGAAAAAAAAGAAGAAAATAAAACGTTTTAAAAGAAATAAGAAAAAATAAATCAGACATTGTGACATAAATCTGAAAAATGAATGGATAATTGAACGAATAAATAAATAAGCAAAATTAAAAAAAAAAATTAGGCAATTAATTAATTGACAAATAACTAAACAACTAATCGATCTATCTATATAAAACTTGCAAAAATTTGATGCTTCTGCTAGAGTTTGAAATCCTGAAAACACAAAAGTTTTATACAATGATAAAACAGATGATTTTTTGTTTATTCAAATTTCTTTTTAT